ACAGACGCCAATGCACTGTGCAGCCATTGCAACTCAAGGAGAAGGATGTCTTGAGATTTTGATTAATGAGAAGATTTATATTGACTCTCAGGTTTGTTTTCAAGTACAGTATTACTTGACTCCTTAGTTTTTCATCGCGTATTAATTCAGAAAATCATCGTCGCCCTATAAATGGTGTCTAAATTTGTGTACATTACAGAAGTTTTTGTAAGTTTTTCATTTCTAAATCTTTTTAAATTGCTAGATTGTTTTTACTATGTTGTGAAACGCACTCACCTATCCTAACAACATATTTTATGTTTCTATTCCAGAATTAAGTTTTTTATTAATTTTTTACAAACGGCTTTTTTACCAACGGCTTTTTTTAAAATAAGTTTTAACCTAAATAATTAAACATTAAACTATATTTAATGATCAACTAATTATCACCTTATCAGCTTATCACCTTATCCATCCTAACGAGTTTCTCATTTCATTGCCAGTTTCTTGATCCATCCAACTATAGACCAATATCCAATCTATCTCTCATTTTTGATATTATTGAACATGCAGCTCTAGAGAGGCTACAGCCTTAATCAATCAATCTTCGTTTAGCGTCCAGAAACCCAGTTCTCCGAGATAGGCTACAGCCTTACATCTTTCAATATCCAAGTTTTACGCTCTCCAGTCGGCTTATCGCACATGTCATTCCACAGAGACGGCTCTGTTGCACATGCTTAACCATGTGCTCAACTCCTGCAACAGTAAACAAGCAACAATTCTTACAGGGCTAGATTTGTCAGCGGCTTTTGACACTATCAGTCGTGACATATTGCTGAAACGTCTAGACGTCGATTTTGGTGTTGACCAAAATAGTCGCAGCCAATTCGTCAAAATATCAGGATATATATTACCAGCAATTCAACTTCAACATGGAGTATTCCAGGGCTCGGTCCTGGGTCCTCTACTCTTTACGTCATATCTCTCACCAATTCAAATCAACAGGTTCAATGTATTCTACCATCAATACGCTGATGATGTTCAATTCATCTAATGTGAATACCATCATTACGTGCATTGCTGCCATGGAGAGATGGTTTCTTCTTAATAAACTTCAATTAAATTCAAATAAAATCATACTGGGCTCATTTCATTCAATCAACGAGTTACATGACCTGACATCTATCAGGATTGGTAACAGTGGTATCCCTGTTAGTGATGCTTTTGAGATACTCGGTGTTGTCCTCGACAAGAAACTAACCTTTTCAAATCATGTTTCGTCTATCGCCAAGGCTTGTGATTATCACATTAAGGAATTTTGTCACATCAGACAGTTTTTATCAATCGATCTGGCTGGGAATTTGGCACGTTGTTTGTTATTGTCCAAACATTATTATTGTAATTCAATAATGTTTGGAATATTTCAGAAACAGAAAACACGTCTTCAGATGCTGAAGAATCGGGCTGCCAGAGTTGTGCTCAGTATTGATACACCACCCCATCGTGTAACATCTGCAACTAGAATTTAAAAAGCCTTCACTGGCTTCCATTACATTACCATGTACAGTATAAAATTGCCATCATCGTCTTTAGGTTGTTGTCGTCGCATTCGCCGTTGTACCTCGACAGTCTTCTTCATCTTCATTATTTCTATCATCTACATGTTGGTCTGTCTGTCTATCTATCTATTTATCCATCTGTCTGTCTCTCTGTCTGTCTATCTGCCTATCTACCTATCTACCTACCTACCTACCTACCTACCTACCTACCTACCTACCTACCTACCTACCTACCTACCTACCTACCTACCTACCTACCTACCTACTCACCTACCTACCTACCTACCTACCTACCTACCTATTTCTATATTCTATCATTCCTCTAGTTTTTGCCCAAATTGAACGTTCGCCGATACATTTTTCGCCCGCCCGAAAATTTTTTGCCCAAAAAGTTTTTATTTGACTTTTGAAATATGGTGGAATTTGACTATATAATAAATATTTTATTTATTTGATAGAATTATTATAATGGTATAATGTTATTCAAAAATGTCGAAAAACACGATGATGTTGCAATTTTTGGTACTAACCGATAAAAAATCATTACACCATCATAATCATCACTACCATTATCACTTCATTATATTCTTACATTCAACCTTACATTATTACAAACTCACACAAATCATTTATTTATTTATTTATTCAGTTTATTCAGGCACAGCTAGGAGACAAGAAGTTTTACATAAGCTTGTATGGCCATCCTAGACGCAGGAAAAAATGTACAAAAATTATTGAAAAACAAAATTCAAAATTAGACATCAAAATGAAATATCAATATAATGTTCAAATAAATGATTATATAAACAGAATAGTAAGAGTAAAATGTATTAAGCGTTCAATGAAAAAACTTAAAGACTTAAGGCGTAAATAATATATATTTCTTAGGAATTTGTGTTTTATGTTTTTATATATTAACTTTTATAACATATCAGGAATATGTAAACAACATAATAATTAATAGTTACGCTAAGCCCATTCAAGTGATGTTACTATCTTAATTACTTTGTACTAATGGCCGATTAATAAACAAAAGCTGGAATTATTGATGGCAGATTGTTATAAAACTTTTCTTTGTGTGTGTGGTTGTAACCGAACATAAACCTGTAACAAAATCAACCTGAGAAAATTGTTATTAAAAAAACATTCCAAATTCCAAGTTACCCAAATACACACACTTTTTAATTTTGTTGTTGTTGTTTTTTTTTTTATAACGTTGCAACAATTTTGAGCAAAAGTGTCATCGTTCTCGCAAAAGCTCCCTTTATTATAACTTTCTATCATTTTTTTTTATTTTTGTCAATGTTTTGATGTTACAGACTATAGACAGCAAAACCCCACTTCACATGACCACTATGCACGGATATGCTTCAAGGGCTGAACTTTTTCTTATAAATGGTGAGTTGATTCATTTTTAGCCATTTTTCATGTTCTTTCTTTCTTTCTTTCTTTCTTTCACACACACACACACTCACACACACACACACACACACACACACATATATATATATATATATATATATATATATAATATATATATATATATATAGTAGAGTTCGGCATATAACAACTAAATTGTGTTGCTCTGGAAAAGAGAAACGATTTTATTAATAAAAAATAATAAATTAATTAATTAGTTGCTCTGGAAAAGAGAAACGATTTTATTAATAAAAAATAATAAATTAATTAAATCAATTTAGCCTTAATTAAGTAAATGTCGTACCTGAAAAAGAGAGACAACAATTAAAGCTATTATATAAAATAACCAATATTAACTAAGAGCTAGAAGAAATATTCAAAATATCCAAATAATTTCAACTCAAACAAAAACTTAAATTTAATCTGTCAAACGTTTCACAATTTACACAATAACGTTATACACCATAACTCAATTCATAATGAAGTGGAAATCCTTCATTACATCTTCCCCTCAAAAGAAGACTCAGATTCATCCGGCACAGGAACAAGTTTTGTAATGTGGAAAAGATTGGATTCAAACTTTTTGTGTCTTGTATTGATTCTATAAATTGAGTTTGACAATTTTTCCAAAACCTGGTAAGGACCAATTTTTAATTCCTCTAGTTTTTTTCTATTTAATGAATTTCCGTTTTCAACATATACCGATTTTCCTATTTTTATTTAGTACGTTTTCCTTTTTTTATCAAATTGTTTTTTATTATAGTTGTGTGATTTTATAGTTCTTTCCAATGCTATTGTTCTATCTTTCAATAAATCATTATATATCATGTTTTTTTTTAATTCCTCTGGTAAAATATTATCAATTTTTCCTTCCAATAAATATTTTGGCGAAAAACCTGTCACAGAGTGTTCGGTTTCATTATATTTTTTTGTACAATCCTGAGCAATAGTTATCCAGGCTAATTTGTTTTTCTTCTCATTAATCTTGCTCCTTATTTTATTGATTAATGTTTGATTTAATCTCTCATTGAGCCCATTTGAAAAGGGCGCATTCACTGCAGTGAAAACCATAGTTATATTTTTTTTTCATCCAGAAAATTTCTAAATTCCTTTGAGTTTATACTCGGATATTGATCCGATAGAATGAGACCTATTTTATTTTCTGATGATACTGTATTGACAAGTTTTATAAAATCGCTTGAACTTTTAGTTTTTGAAGTCAAAATATATGCATATCTTGTGAAGTGGTCTACCAGAAGATGCAAATATGTTTTAGTTGAACGTGAGCCACCAAGTCCCCCAATGGTATCAATTGACATGATTTCAAAAGGTTTTGTAGCGGGGCCTAGATGGGACATTAATCCAAATTTATATTTAGGTCTGGATTTATTTTTTATGCAGATTTCACAAGTTTCGCAAAATTTTTTTATATTTTGTGTTATATTTTTTTGCTATATACAAGGGTTTTATTTTTTTCCATTTGTTGTATTCCTATGTAACCATATAAAATGTGCGTGTTTTCTATAATTTTTATACTAAATTCCTCAGTCAGTAAAATCTTTTCCGTTTTTCCCACCTTTCTGTAATATACTGTGTCTTTTAATGATAGTCGATTTTGATATTGTTTTATGTCTTCGTTTATTTCTTGGTCCTTTTGAATGTCTTCAAGTGTAATAAAATTTACAACTTTCAAAATATCTTCTTGGTTTTCATATGATTCCAAAACAGGATTTCTAGTCAAACTGATAATCTTTTTTTCAAAATTTCTTTTTTTTACTAAATGCTCTAAACCTCGAATATTATTAAATAAATCTTCAGTTTCTTTTAAATTATCTCTATTTTATCCGCTATATAATATGGTAGCCCTGTAACGATTAAATCAATGAGGGTTTGTTTATCCATTGATTTATTTAATTCTAATAATAATATTTCTTTTTTTTGTGCATATGCTAATAATGATGAGTTTTGTTTGTGTTTAAATAAAATTGCGTACCGGACTGGCGACCAACCTTTGTCAGCATAGGTTTCATAAAAGTTTTTTTTTCACATCCACCAATCTGAATTTACACTACACTTTATTAGCATAGAACTGTACCAGTCCATGCACGTTTCCTCTAAAAATAACCTCAGAGTCTCAATTATTCCTAAACGAGCACATTCTGTTTCAAAAATATTCATCCATTGAGAAACATTTGATGTTTTTCTTGAAAATTTATCTATTACAAATGTTCTCGTTAGGTTTCCTATATGTTGAGGTTTATTTATTTCCTTGGTCATTTCTGTAAAATTCTCCAATATTTTTGACAGTGTTTTTTCAGAAATTCCAGTCGTAGCTGTCAGTTTCGGTGTTTCCGCAGTAATTTCCTCTAGTAAATACCCATTTAACTGCATATTTCCATTTTCATCTATATAAACATTTCTTATTTCTGGTGTTAATGAAATCCATACTTGTCTTTTTTCATGTCTTCTTTGTAATGTAGTTTTTACTTTCAGAAAAGTTTCAGTCTTCATAATTGTCTCATGAAATTTTACCGGCTGATATTTATCCGGAATTGCAAATATGCGGTTGTTCATATCCGTAATTGAGGTTATGCATATTACATTTGTTTTTGGAACTTCGTTCGATTTTACTATGAATTCAAATTTCAATTTGTCCATGGTTCAATAGCCGTAGAATTGTTGTTTTATAATAGAGTTCGGCATATAACAACTAAATTGTGTTGCTCTGGAAAAGAGAAACGATTTTATTAATAAAAAATAATAAATTAATTAAATCAATTTAGCCTTAATTAAGTAAATGTCGTACCTGAAAAAGAGAAACAACAATTAAAGCTATTATATAAAATAACCAATATTAACTAAGAGCTAGAAGAAATATTCAAAATATCCAAATAATTTCAACTCAAACAAAAACTTAAATTTAATCTGTCAAACGTTTCACAATTTACACAATAACGTTATACACCATAACTCAATTCATAATGAAGTGGAAATCCTTCATTACACACACACACACACACACACACAC